GTTGGTTGATGTTGTGAAGCTGTAGCGGTCTCAGGTGCCCCTGAGCACAGTTCAGGTGGGTCAGGCACGCCTTGAGGCAGCTGGGCTGAGGCCTGGTGGACAGACCACTCCGCTGCATGAGATCGAGAGTAGGTCTTTAGCACTCATGCTAGGACGACCTTGCATGCCTATGCTGGCATGACTCATGGCGTTTGCGATGAGGAGGCCAGACCCGTTGAAGCTCACAATGCCACCCCTTCCGCTTTCCACTTTTGTTCCGTGCTTTAAGGACCTGATCAGCCCATCCTTCCATGACTCTTCCATGATATGCGCTGAGAATTTGACTGAAACTAAATGAAATGCTGGCATGCGCTCGCATGTGCTCGCATCACTGAGACAGCGCAGGTTCCATACGAGTTGCTCTGTTGACCTTTTGTTCTTGTGAAGACACTGAGCTTGAGTGCTGCTGTGAGTCTTTAATCTCTCTTTGCGGCTTCTTTGCGACAGGTGGCCGATCTGGCGCAGACCTTCTACGAGTCGCTGCGGTGAAGACAAAACTTGACAAAACCCATCAAATCCCGAGCAAGGCATAGCAGGGCTATCAACAGCTTCCGGCACGTTCGTGTCATGGCCATGAAGGCTCTGAGTGCATCGCGGTCAAGGTTGTTGCCTTCAGAAGTGGGCATAAAGAAGACCACGTTCGAGAGTCGTACGCTGGTCGTTGATGTCATACAATTTAGGACTTGTGAGTCAAGTCTCGTCAGGCACACAAATGCCTTTAATTCAATGCGAGCCGCGGCTTGTAACGCACTTCTATCTGTGGTCTAGGCTAAAACTCGCCAGCCATGTCTCGCACGCAACTTGGTCATGAGTGCCATCCAGGCACGACCTTTTCTGAAAGTCTACTCAGTGGGAAATTTGCTGTTGCGGCCTCTTGTAAGATGGTGCGGCGCTTCCATGGGTGACTTAAACTTAGGAGGTGCAAAGTTTCGAAACAGTTGTGCTGCGAAGACCTCAATTTTCTTTTGGGTCCGTATGATGCGAAATGGTTGGAAAACTGAAGGACGTTCACACTGAGTCGGGGGCTGATGGGCATGCCACTGTTGCCACTGCGATTTGTCCAGGAAGTTGTCGTACAGAGTAAAACTACAAAGCTGGCCGGGGAAAGGTGTCAACTATGAACACAGCATCAAGCACCGCGCCCGGGTTTCGACCTCACGCACACGCGCCCTCCCAAGAGCCGTCAGTGAAGATCCTAGCAGGCGGCCTATCATCCACTACCGTTTCAAGCCTCGGCACCTCACACTCAAGGCAAGCAGCAACGTAGGCCAAGGACAACGCCATGTCCGTGCGCATGTCATCCTTCCAACCCTCCACTGAGACCCTTGACAAGAAGGCCATCGCCGGCTCAAAGGGGGTGCAGACTCAAACAGGACTCCAAGAGCACCCTCAGCACGCTGCAAGAGCGTGGACATCTCCGGCTTTGCCGCCTTGGAAAACTGGTTCTATAGAGCAAGCTTTGAAAAAGACACAGTAGCAATAACAGCAGATTTTCCAGGCACTTAGAAGACCCACAGTAGAAGCATCAGCGGTTTGTCTAGGCGCCGTAGACGAGCCACCGTCCAAAAAAGTCTTCGATCTAGCCGCCGTCGTCAGAGACTGAGCACAGACTGGCTCCTGGAGGCGTGCTGGCAGTGTCAGTGCGTGGTGTGGGGGCATCGGGCCATTTCGCCTTACGAGCCTTCACGCCATTGGAGGAAATGGCCATGACTCGTCCGTGCCACATTCACGATCATGCACTGCCAACTTGTACAGCCCGAGAATCATTGAGACTCCAAGCGTACGACGAGGGGATATTTGGGGTCAGGCCATGAGTTTCACGTGTAGGCCAACTGCCCACATCGAGTTTTCCTTCGCGGGCTGCCGCTGGTATTGGTCGAGAGGTATTGACCTCGATCGGGATGGAAAGTGTCTGGCTGCAGCCCGGAGCCATGGACGATAGGCGTTCCGACAAGCACTGAGGTCACTCCTGCGACGTATTTGCGAAGCCTTCGGCGATGTGGAAGATGTTTGGGTGCGCCTCTCAGAGACCATGTCCCCGCACGATTTCAAAAGAAGCACATGCCGATTCTTGTTGTTCCTGTGTCAACATGTGTGCCTGGGCGAAAGACTCTTCCTGTGCTGCTACTACAGCCAACTACTCCTGTGCCTCTGCCAGCTCCAAGCAGTCTGCGACTGTCATTCCTCCTGAATGTCTCTCATTTTGCCCATCTCGTTGGCCCTTTCCGCATCGCCTGTCATGCTCCTTCTGCACATGTACGGTCCATGTGCTGCGTCGCACAGCTCCCATGTATGGGAATCGCTGAACATGCGATGCAAATCTCATTATCCCCACACGGAGATCCACCAGTTGTACCAAGCAGCAGAGCATCGTGGAGCATGTTGTTCGCTGTAAATTTCGCTGTGCAATGGTGCATCATCGCTGTTGGTTCAACATATAGTACGGAGCATGCTGCAAGATTTGAAAGCATGCGAAGCAGTCGGAGCATGGAGCATGCACCTGATCAGCATATGCAGTTGCACCTGGAGCATGAGAGCAATGTTCATGGAACATTCCAGCGTGGTGAAATGTGGTGAAGCAGTGTTGTACAAGCATGTCTCGCAGAGCAATGCAATACATCACCTCAACATGCGGTTACACAAGCAGTTCCAATCTGACAACATTCATATAACATGTCACGCATCCTTTCTCTACACTCACCCTTCACAGATTCCACTCCCGTCCTTCTGCTCGTTGCAGTACGTGAGCATGTGCAAGGATGATCAACGATGTTGGCATCCACTACAATTCACTACAAGAAGTGCGAGGAACTGTCCGCAGCATGAAGTTAAAGTATAAACTACCTGATGTGTGAAGAGAGCATGAGAAAGCCCAGCAAAGGCTCAGTCTAACAAAGATCCGTCGCGGCGGCTTGTGAAATCGGAAAAGGATGCTGCCAGACGTCCTTCAATTGCTGGAGGGCTTGTTCCGGAAACCGCCAGACTCCTGCGCTCATTCCCACGGCCTGATGTTGCCAACTCAATCGGCTTTCATATTTTCATACGTGGCTCGCAACGGCTTGGCTCATAGAATCCCCTTGAATGTTCTTGCCGGGGAATGTTGCAAGATTGCCCCTGAAAATCCTTTACGGCGCGGTGCTACTTCGAGCACACATATGAGCAAATCGCAACATGTGATGAATGGTGCTGTACGTTGCTGGAACTGAGGTTCGTGTGGTGGATCGCACTGCCGATGTTCCTGAGAGCTGGGCTTTTGTGCACTTTGCGACCGGTACAGGTGCTTGATGTGCTAGATGTGCTTGTTACTCGCTGGAATTCGCTGGATCTGCCGCTCATGCGTGTTAGCTCCAGAGATGGCCTCCCGGAGCTAGGAGTGGCGTCGGCGGTTGGAGCTGGGCAAGACCTCTGGCATCAGCTAGTTCAAGCACAAGGATTCTAAGAGCAACTTAAGAGCACAAATGAGCATCATGCCGTCTATTGCCGTCTGCTTCCGTGCTTGCTCGGGCAACGCAGGGCTGCAAATCGACGTGTCGTCGATCCACGTCACACGCTTGGAACCAGAGCAGAGCACACCTGCCGAGGCCACGAATCCAAGTTCTGACAAGAATTCATTTCTCGTGTTTTTTTGAACTTTTTTGTGTGTTTACGGACCGTGTTGTACTGTTGCGTGCTGCGCCATCAGCTGCCTCGCCGCAGGGCGATGTCATCCCAGAGTCGGTCGTGATCCAGGCATTGGAAGCTGAAGGCAGAGAATGGCAGAGATGTTTTCAAAAGCAGGACAATTCAATTAATTCCCAAAGCTGCATACTGCGTGTGGTCCGAAGTCCCACAACTGTCATGCAAGATTAGAAAATATCAGCACGACAGAAAGAATGTTTGGATTTTCCAACGATGTGTGAGCGGAAAGGCTTGAGAGTGGACATACGTGTCCAGTGCAGATGCTTTGCATGTAGGGCCTCTTGTCACATGCATGCTTATCAAGTGGGCAGAGACGGCTAGCTCTGAATGATTCTCCTGCATCAGATTCCAGCAGTTTTGACTTCGAGTCCTTCAGAGAACGCTTCTCAATGCGGCTTGGTCGCGACCCGGCAACAACCTGATTTCTCCCCCAAAAGTCCTACGGCCCGATGCTTGAGCGGATCAAGGAATATACCCTTGTATCACAGTAAGTGTACATATTTATGTGAAATGTGCTACACGTACATGTTTTGGGGAGGATAATGTTGCGCTCTCTGGGTCTGAGTTGGGGGTTCAGGCTTGAATTGAACGAGGCAGGAAGGCCTACACTACGCGGGGGGGGTTAAGTAGGCCGAAGCCGTGCAAAGTCGGCACTCCGCAGGGGAACGCCTCGATTCTCGTGAAACCGACCCATCCGCAAAAAGTCGGCCGATAGATTTGAAATCCGCAAGTGCACGCTGGGTGTTAGGGAGCACGGCCCGATATACAGAATCGGTATGTGATGCGAAACTCTCTTTAGAAACTGGAAGCGAAAAGGCAAGGAAGCATGGTGCTGTCCACCCTGCATGTGAGACTAGGGGAGCCAGCTCCCTCTCTCCCACTTCTCCTGGGACAGAGGCGCAGACATCTGAGAGTTATCCTTCGGCCCTCTTCGCTGAACACGCGTACAAGCGCGCTTCTCATCAAAACGTGTTTAGCTTAAAGCGAATTCTGAAAGATCAGAGCTCAGCTTGGAGGTAAGCTTCTGAACACAAGGCCTTTAGAAGACAACGCCGCAGCCCCAACACACCCCAAACCAGAAAGGCGCTAGAGAACAGAATGACGCCGAACCGTTCTGCACACTCCAAAGCATTATAAAGCATTCCTAAACATATCACCTGAACCCTCAGCCGAGACAGATGAATCCCCTATACTACCCTAAAACCTGCTCCATAAATGGGGTCCCTAAACCCTAAACCCTGAAGCCTTTCAACCCAGAAGCAGAAAAGTCTTCGAATTTAAGCCGAGCAGGCAGGCCTCCAAACACCCGAAGTCCAAGAAGCTTGTAACATCAACCCTGAATTTGAACCTTAGAAACATCCTGAGCGCTACAACCATGGAGCATAAACGCTACTAAACCTCAAAGCCTAGAATGTTTCTCGCCAACCCAAAGCCCTTGAAGGGCCCCCCCCCCCCCCCCCAAATAAAAAACTCCTAGAAGGGTTAGCAGAAGCTCTAAAATCCCCAGGAATCCTCCAGCCTTGAGCAGACCCTCAGCCTTCAACCTTCAAGTGGAAAACTCTTGGAAACTGCAAGTGCACGCCTGGTTTTGGACAGCACAGCCAGCGCATGCCTGTGTGAGGTCCGGTCCTGCGAAGAGATGCCGAGATGATTTTCAAAGTTCTGCACCAGCACAGGCCAGGAAGTGTTGGAGTCATGTTTTGTCTAATTTGAAATTTGTTTGTTCTATGATAGTTCTATGTTTTCCATGTGGTGGAGGCCAGATGCCACAGTCCGTGGAATACTTCGCTCAGTGATGGAGACTCCTGATGACTTGCGTCCAGGACTTCGGGCGGCCTTGTGGCCCTTTGCTTGATCCGTTGCAAAAGTGCCGACCGAATACAGCAAGAACTAACTCGGAGATACTAAGGCTTACTAAGGCTACTGCAGTTGCACCTAGTGGCATCTACGAACCTATTCATGGCCGGGAGGGACGCCCTGTCCACCTGAAGCCCATGGATCCCCGAGGCACAGCTCCACAGGCTCTGACAGTCTCTGGCCTGACGCCTCCGCCACGGCCGCCGGCCCCGAACTCTTTGTGCAATTTGTGCACCTCAGCTGCTCTCGCATGTTCAGATCCTCCGACGTGCCCGCGGGGTGCTCGGGCTCGCCTGTTGGCCTGAGTGCCTTCACCACTTGCTCCAATGGCCCTGGCGCCGGATGGCACCGGCATGGGCCCTGTCGCGACTGGCAACTCGCAAACAGGGGGCCCTCGATGGGATGAGGCGGTAGAAGAAGCATGCTGAAGTAAGTCCACACAGCTGAGTGACCCCTTTCATATACCTTGCAGCGGCCGTAGCAGCGGCATTGGCCGTCATGAATTTGATGAGCAGCATCTGCCTGCCTCCACATACCCCTCTTGTCGGCGCTAGTTGTGTCGCCCAGCAACTTTCCAACTGCTACTGATGAACTCATCCCTCTTGACAAACCAAAGCTCCACAGAGCTCCACCACCGCATTCATCTGCATGCTGCCGCCCCCCCCCCTCCCTCCCCCCCTAGTCTAGGGACCAGTTTCCATCGCCCTCGCTTGCATGTCAACTCAGACCTGCTCACATCAAGGAATCATACTCACAGAACAAGGTCCACAAATCTGAACAGCTAAGCCTCAAGGCACTGTTAGAGGCATGCGGACGTGAGACACTGATCCTCCACATTCCTTCACTAAGCAAGGCCGCAAAAGAAAATGAGAACCGCGTCGTCACGTGAGCCCAGTCAGCAGGCCATCGCTGCGAGGCAGCAGATACAATGACAAGCTCAGGGCTTCTCTCTGGCTGCTGGCCGAAGCATCAGCATGGCCCCATCACGTTCGAGGCACTTCCAGGCAAGCATATACAAAAGGCAGCCAGTTTATTTCAGCAACTATTATCTTGAATGTCATTAGATTCTTGGACCATATATCGCAATTCCAAAAGTTGCACCCGCTGGTTTCTAGCGGTCGTCTGCCAGGAACGTTGAGCCCAGAACGTGTCTCAGCCTCGAGTTGGTTGCACCTGCTACTGTATCAGTGAAACATAGAGTGGGTCAACGCTCGGCGGTGTAACGGAGGCAAAGATGTACTACTCGTGATGGCATACTCGGCCAACTATGCTCCGGGGGCCATCTGCCAATTGGTCAACAACGAGCGCCTGGGTAGAGTTTAGCAGCGCGTTGCATGATTTAATCCACGTCTACGTTTTGTGCACTGACCCTTGCATTTTCATGTCCCCTATCGTACAGATGTCTCGGCCCCACATGCTGATTCAGACATAACCTAAATCTATGTAGTGCAATTTTCATTTCGGCCGCAGCTTGCAGGTACTCCAACAAGCACGGTTATGCGTTCAAGTGCGATGTTCTGACCAAAGAGGACATGCTGGCTGCCATCTCCCCACGAGATGCCTTCACATGGTACAAGGAATCTCGCTTCAGAACTTCAGAAGTCGAACATGCCCTATGCAATGCCTATGCAAGTGACATCGACCAAGGGTTGGGAACACTCTGAATCTCAGTCTAAGTCCAAGCTCGCATGTTTGGACGCTCCAGGTACTGATGTTGAAGCGCCTGATGAACACAGAAAGCCACGAGTACTTTGTTTGGCTTGATGGTGATGCTGCTATTCTCGACCACGAGAAGCCCTTGGAAGCTTTCATTCGCCAGGCCGGCAACATTCGGCAGGCTTGTGAATTGAACAAGTCACCAACTGGCCGAGTACATCTTGTAGGGCATGTGCCGCGGCCCGTCAGGCTAAAGGGCGTCACCTTATTCTGCAAGAGGATCTCTCGGCAGAATGCCGCATCAATTGCGGCGTGATGATCTTGAAGAGGTCTGTGCACGCACTCGCACTCTCGGTGTATGGATTTCTGTGCGTGATTCGCAACACACACCTCAGCCCCAAACACACTTGGCCCGTGCGAAATGCAGACGATTTGCAGCAAGACCCCGGGTTGTACTTGCGGAAGCAAGTGGTTCGCGGATTTTTTTTTTCGACCATGGAAGGGCCCTGACAGATCTATTCCCTGAAAAAAATTGGCACGGGGTCTTCCACCCCACAGCCGCGCATTTCTAATGTTGTTGCCCCTGTTTTACCAGCTCTGTCTGAGTCAGGCTCTGCCTCCTGCATCGTGGTCTGATCTTATGCAGAAGTCGTACCCTCTCTCTCCCATTGCCGTGTGCCCGAAGATCTTTCATGTCGATTGAATTCGATCTCAGAAGCTGCGTCTCTTCTCTGACCTTTGTCGGGTTACACTTGCGGGCCTACCCTATCTTGATACAATTTGATACACATCTCAGGCTTGCAGTGTCCCAGGTGTATCCTCCATCTGCTCCAGAGTTTTCCAGTGGGCTTGCGCTGGCGAAGCTTGAGAGATTTGGGGACCTCATCACCTCATCCTTGCTTTCAGCTCTCGTTATTCATGCATCCTATGCTGCGTCTAGCCTTGTCTATGCTTCGAAGAGCGAAAGATGCGAAAAGCAAACCGGCAATGGTCACTCGAAGCTGCAATGGAGTGGCCACGGAAGGATGGGGCAGGGCTTGTGGGTGCTTTGCAGAGGTAAATATGTGCAGGGAGTTCTGCAGAGGTACTGCTGGATGTGTTTTGCTGTCATCTGCCTCTAGATGCATTGCGAAAGCCTTGCGACGCTACGATTTGAAGCGACGGTGCTGTTTCGGAAAGGTGTCAGCGTCATCGAAAGTGTTTGCCGCACTGGTTTGTTTTGACGTCGGACACAAGCTGTGGGGAAGCCCGCATGCCAAAATCAAGTCCCAGCTCCTGTCTTGTGCCCCCGAAAAACTATACCGTGAAAATCCTTGAAGGTTGCGGGATATTGCCGGGCCGAGCAAGCTCTGCAAAGACAATCATTAAGAATCAGAAGCTCTCCCCGGAAGGGTCCGCGGAAGTATGTGGAAGTCAGGCATATCCTGATTTAACGGGCCAATGGTCTTCTGCGGAAGCTCCTAGGAAGCCAGCGGGTGGAGGCATTTTCTTGCCGAAGGAATTCTTCTAAAGCTGTAAAAAGCCATGGCTCACTGCTTGTCAAGCTTTCCCGGTGCGAGGTCCAAGTGGACATTAACTTTGCTCCGCTTGTTGTGGGAAGGGAACCTCTCCAGACGGCATCATTGCAAGCCCTACTATGCAACTTGGATTTATTGATGGCTATTGCCATCGTTCAGGAAATGGAAATGTGATGATTGTGACAGCACCGCAGCAATCCGCAGCATCTCTCCACGGAGGAGCAGTCCGCCTTGGTGCGTCTTCTCGTGGAAGCTGGCGAGCTGGATGCCAGGTGCGGGCGTTGACCATGTCCTGGAGCCAAGAGATCTGAGAGATGGTCAAATGATGGTCAAATGATGGTCACATGGTCAGGCCTCGTCTTGAAGGACTACAGTGTCCTTGGTACTCTAACAACGTCTGCATTCTACCACTGCGCTGGTTGCAGACAAACCGACTGCGAGAGGCACGGCTTTCATGCAGGCTGAGACAGATGTGCTGCTGGCTTTAGCATCCCCCCCCCCCCCCCCCCCCCCAAAGCGATTGAAGGGCGGGCGCATGGCGTATGGCCGGAGTCAAGCCTGAGTCGGCTTGTCGGGGGCTTGTGTTGATTATTGCTTAGGTCCGCTGTGCAGCAGGTAAACCCATGCAAGCCCGTGGGGCGCAACGGTCTAGGCCAAAGAGTTTGGCTATGCTTGGCTTCTCGTACCACAACGTTAGAACTCAAGGATGACCGTGTCAGACCTTTCAAAAACAAGGTCTTCAAAGTGTTTCCCCCGTGCCTCCTGTGGCCTCTGTGCGTGAATTTCGGATGTTGGGGTGATTTTGGGTGCTCGTTACATGTCCCGCGGATTGGTCTCCCACAACTCCGGTGCTGTTGCCGGGCAACACTTGGTTTTTCTCGATGCGTAAATACGAAACACCTGCTCAACATAGTAATGTGAGGAGCAGCCACGGCCCGAAATGAACCTCAAACCCTGTGAGGTTCATTTGGCGGATGATTCCCAACAGACTCCAAAGAGTTTCATCTTCCATCCGCTCTTTGCATCGGAGCAGTTCGCAGAGGACAAGGCTGGACACTAGCTGCGACTTAATGACCTGAGTTTGGCCGCGCATACCGATACCTTGAAGTCTGTGTTAGCAACGTTTGGCAGCTTTTGTGCCACTGTTTTGTTGAGTTGTGATTTCAGACCAGGCACAAGCTTTACGTGCTGTTCTGGGAAACGCTGGACGTTTGATGCACGGAAATGAACCTGCGTGCGGGTGTGATCAATGATGGCCCGTTGCATAGGTTTGCCGACAGGTCGTAGGAGAGCAGCTCAACATGTGCAAAATCACATGGTCCTGCCAAGCCTTTGGATACCGGTAGTAACAACTTGCGCGTGCTGCAGCTGTCTCCAATCATGTGCTTGCGATGCCTGACTCGACTCTCCATATTTGGCACATGTGATTGGCTGCAAGGACGCTTTTATACGCTTTTTTCTTGCAGAACTGTGCAGAGATGGCTGGCCTGTGCAGACCCCTGCGCACTTGGGGTCGCTTTCGATGCCAGGACTGGAAGCGATGCAGCGACATGTGGAGGGTCTTTGCGGAAGGCGCACTATGCCCTATGCATTGCTAGAATGCTTGACAGCGCAGCAAGGTTTCCCACCCGCAAGGATGGGATAATGTGTGCAAGGACACCAGAGACTACGCATGTCACTCCGGTGGTAGAGTGACATAGAATGTACCACTGCTGCTAAGCACAGTGGAATGTTGAAAGTGTTGATGGGTTGGACCATTGGCACAGCGGGCAGGCTCAATGCTGCTGGCTGCGCAGTCCTGCACTGCCGACTGCGGGCTGCGTGGCAGGTTCCACGACCCACTGTTTGAGGATGATTTGACTCGGTGTGGCGTTGTACTACGTTGTATATAGTTACACCGTAACAACATGTTACGGCATGTTGCATCTCAGCCTGCAGCATGCCCCAGAGACAGAGCGCTTGGTGCTTTGTTGGCAGCCTGTGCTCCGTGTTTGATACTTGCACTTGACAGATTCTGCGTCACGGCAATGCCGACGAGGCCCGGGTGTTCAACTTCAAATCTTTCACCATTCTCATTATCTAGGTTTTGTGGAGACCAGGCGGCATTTGGCAATCGCTTCTGACATGGCTGAGACGCTACACCGGTGAGCCAGCTAGCTATCAACAAACATTCAACAACTTGTCGGCACTGCGCGTCGTGATCTGCAATGTCCCGAACTGTACGACCTTGTCGCCCCCTGTCGGACTTTTAAAAGGAGCCACCCCCCGGCAGCTTCACGGCAGTTTCACGGAACCCTGCAATGTATTCAACTTACTCTTGTAAAAGCGAGACCAATGACATGTTCTTACGATGGCCGGAAAGCTTGTTTTGCTGAAGGACCTCGCTTGATCCCCCGCCCCCCTCCCCCCGTTTATGTGGCATGCTCTTCTTTGCACTGGCAAGCTTGTCTTGTGGATCTCCCAAGTGTAGGGGGGTACAACATGAATACTTCAGAGCTTCACATCCTTTCGCTGTTGGAAGGTGCATCGGGTGGAGAGGCGACCTTTATTGTTGCTTGAACGGGCAGCCCGTCTCCGTGACAAGGCGCGTTTGCTCCTGCATGGCTTGAAGCGTCACGCAAGCGTTGTCTGCAGGCTTGTACTTCCCAGCCTGAAAGCCAATTTTCCCGCAACATTGTAAACGGTTCCACCCTTGCTATGGCATCCAGTTGCCGCGTGAGCTTTGCTGGAACAGAATCAAGTGGCCTCGACAGGTGTGTAAACGAAAGCCAGCACTGCAGGACACTGGCTGTCTGTCGGTCAGTCTCTCCTCTCTCTCTCTCTCCCTCCTCCTCTCCCTCTCTCTCCCTCTCTGTCTGTAGACGCGCGCAGACCATAGTGAATCACGAGCTTCTGCTCAGAACGTTTGTGTTGCAAGATTTTGGGACAGGCCCAAGCTCCATGATCTGGGGACTCCGCACTGCCCACGTTCCATTTGACAAGTTATGGTTACATGCGCAATTTGTCCGCACTCCAGGGTTACTACGCTTCCAGGCTGGGGGCGGGCACTCCAATGATACTTGGCGGGACCTTCGTCGCCATTCTCCGGCGATGGATTCTGTGGGGGTGAGCTTTCCAAGCTCTATGGACTCTATGGGCCTCCGGGGTTCAGTGGGACTTGGGGCACTCGAGAGAGGCGCAACTCTTCGCGGCACATCTCCATTAGATGTCCAATTAGGGTTTACATGAGCAGGTTATCTGCTCTTTTCAAGCTCCTGGAAGTTTATTGTGTGATAAGGGTAGAACCAAGACCGGATGTTATGGGTTTTCTTTCAGCAACTTTCCTATCTCACGTTTTGCTCACTTCGCTGTCAGCTGATTCATCACGAGTCCAGCGTCTGGTTCGAGAATCTTCATGCTCTTCCTTCTGCATGACAAGACCCATAAAAGCCAACAAAAAGAGAAGTTCTTGGTTGGGGCTTTCGATGAGTCCTTTAATGCGGTAACTTGTGCGGTGGACTTCATAGGGCTAGCAACGTAACCGCCAGGCCGTTCCAATACTAAGACATCGACAAGTAAAGACCACCATTAAACCTTCATTTTCTCTGGGGTTGGGCACTCAAGTCATATTTGGCAGGACTCGCTACAGGCTTCTCTAAGGCTGGGCATTCCAGGGAGCAGGCCGCCAGGCGGGACACCACCCACACCGAGGGTGTGGAACTATTCAACCCCGGGCCCTGATTTAACATGTTACAGGAATGTTAACGTCCAGGTGGGTTTTTCTGGCTCCCAGAAAGACTTCTGTATTCATCAAATTTAGTGTGCAGAGCCAGACGTTAACATTAAAGTCCAGCCCTTAAACTTGGGTCCAACGAGTCCGGATATTAACATATCTAACCTGCAAATGTAGATTAAAGTCTTGATCCTGGCCTTTTAATTTTAACGCTACGCGACCCGCCTCGGCCCGGCCCAGCGCATCCGCGTGAGCATGGTGATTCCGCAGCGCCCAAGTCGCTGGACCCCGAGCAATAAGGGTTGGGTTTAGGGTTTAGGGTTCCGGGTTTATGGTTTATGGTTTGGGGTTTAGGGTTGAGGGTTAGTTTAGGGTTGAGGGCTTAGGGCTCAAGGTTCACGGTTTGGGGTTTAGGTTCTTTTTTGGCTTAGGGTTCAAGGTTCAAGGTTGAGGGTTGAGATGGTTCGGCTTGGATTGATCATAAAGTTGAGCCAGGCCCCTCAAGCAGGAAGGGGGGGTGCAGCATTCGCGGCGGGTGGAGGGTGGTGGGGGCAGGGGGGGGGGGGGGGGGGGGGGGGGGGGGGGGGGGGGGGGGGGGGGGGGGGGGGGGGGGGGGGGGGGGGGGGGGGGGGGGGGGGGCAGGGGCAGCCCTGGTGGCGAACCGTCTCCTGTCAGATTGTGGTCTTTCCAGCTAAAAAAAGTCCGACGTGTGGGGAGGATTAGGAGGGGGGTGCCTGTTCCGGCAAAGGCGGATTTTAATTCTCAGGGCTGGATGCCCTGCAGATTTACATCAAGTCCCGTGTCCCGTGCCGAAGCCAGAGTTCTAAATTGGGATGGGATGGGAAGGGGGAGGGGGATGTGTTTAGCGGGTGTAGACGAGGGGAGCATGGCCTCAGCCCACTGCCAGGGCACCGGCCAAACAACAGGGTCGACAACTGCACCCCGGAGTGGGCGTGAAGCAAAAGCACTCGGCGAAGCAGGTGTGCATGCGAGACTGAGGGAGGTAAGCGGCCCAGGGTGGGAGCCGGGGCGAGACCCACGACGAGCAGAAGAAGCCGAGCAGAGCCGAGAGAGGTCCCGCTAGTTCCGTTCGAGCGTGTTCGAGCGGAGAAACACAAGCAGCCCTACAAGGACGCATTCAACAAGAAGGCCAGGGGGGCAGCACAAGTCAGACACCAGCAGGGCCAGGCACAGCAAGGGGGACGACGGGGGTGACGACGAAGCAATCAAGCAGCACATTGATGAGGGACACAATACGAGTGATGGAAAAATGCCAACAACCGAGCCGCCGAGGACGACGACATGGAGAAGCTTCTTGCCTGGCATGCAAGTTGGCCAGAGTGCGCGCGGCGGCATTTTCATCCTAGGAGGCAGAGGACAGAAGCAAGGTAAAAAGGCCAGCCAGCAACAGTGAGCATGGGGGCCGTGCATGTCAACGAGATCGGGGGCAGCCACTTTCCGCGGAAGCAAGCCTGACAACCCAGACGACGACCCGAGCACAGGAGACACTGGGCCGAGTGGCAGGGAGCCCACTACGATGATCGAAAAGAAGACCCAAGACGGAGGAAGGAAATGGAGTACGCATGAGTACGCAGAGATGCCAGGGGGAGTGGCTCGCGGCTGATCTTCGCATAATTGGTGCTCCGTACTAGACAGGCGGTGCACTGGATCGCTTCCCCAGGGCTTCCATGGCTGGACACGGCTCGTACTGCGGGCGTCTTTCAGCGTACCTCAGCCGAAGATCCTTAAAGAGGTATAGACGGTCCATGTAGTCCATGATGGGGTGGGCCATAGGGTCCATACAAGGTTCACAGGACATGGTGAGGGGTCCATAGGGGTCCTTAAGCGGTTGTTGCCATAGAAATGCAGAGATAGTCCATATAATGTTGCTCCGTCCCGAAACTGTGTGGGTCGTGCAAAACGGTGGGCGGGGGCGAGGGAACCATGAGCGTCTGAGCCGAGGGGAATTGAGGAGGTGGGTTGTTCTTTCCCCCAAGCGTCTCAGGCCTGGGGCCTCGGCGGAGCACGGAAAGCCTTGGAGCTGAAAGTCTCTGATGCACAGGCTGAGCAGCGCGTCTCCTTCGCTACCGCTAGAACTGACAACAGCCACCCTGAGGCACAAAGCTTGGCCCGCAAGGGACACAACAAGAGACTTCGCTTCTTTTCACGTTTTCCTGTGTGAAAATATAAAGGCACATCGTCGATCACGCGACTCGAATAGCAAATTATCCGTGGCTCCAAGGCCAGCCGGAGCTACTTGAACACCCCGACTTTGATCAAAACAAGTCGAGAAGTGGCAGAAAGCATCTGTGCAACATTGTGCAACCCAATGGAGTTCATCGGATCAACCCTGTCCCTAAAGCCTCGCATAAGAAGACAACAGAGTACGAAAGGCTTTCGCAGTTGTACTGGGTCCAAGTATACAGTTGACCCATTGCAATCGAGGAGACATGGGACGAGTTGGGTGTGGAGAACATGTCTGTTGTAGTCAGAGGCCAGTCAAATTGCTTGCGTCGGGGTCAGAAGCAGCTGCTCTTGAAG